AGAGGGTCACTGTGAGTCTGGTTTTGTTTTGAAACTTTTCTCTTGCTTACCAGAGGAGTTATGGTGCCAAGTATGGACAGATACTCACTGTCCTCCCCTCCCCTTTCCCTGGGCAGACACTGTTGGGGCTAACACATGGCTGAATGGGGAAATGACGCTAGTTTTACAAGGAAGGAGTTGAGCTGTGGAAGGTGTCCCAGAGAGCAATTTCAAAAGATGTGGAGGAACTCCTGTGTTCACCTCCGGTTGTGCATGTGAGTCTTTGAGAACTTAAACAGTAGGGCAGACCAGTGTCCACGTCCCAGAACGGCCACTGGGGGCACGTTTGCAGGGCAGATCAGTATGGCACTGTAAAGGCTGCAAGACCAACAAATCCCCGCCCCAAACCCGGTGCCCTTGAGTCCTTTTTGACTCATTGAGAGCTAGTAGGGCAGCCCCTGTGCATTCCCAAGGCTATGAATCTTCACTAGACTAAGTGGAAAGCCTCTTTCTTCCTCAGAGTGGCTGCTGCGTTCAAACTGCCGACCTCATGGTTAGCAGCCCCGTGCATAATCCACTACACTATCAGGGCAATCCAAAATTACTCAGCCCAGGAAGACCTAGGAAAGCCTGACCTAGAAAAGGGAAGAATACTCAACGGATGCCAATCCCAAGAGGGAGCCCCTGAGGTCAGCAGTTTGAAACCACCAGCTACTTTGAGGGAGAAAGAAGAGGCTTTCTGCCCCTTGTAAAGAGTGACAGACTTGGAAACCCTCAGGGGGAAGTTCTACTCTGTCCTATAAGGTGGGTGTGAGTCAGAATTGACTCAACGGCAGTGAGGGAGTGAGCCTATCCACCAATGATAGCGATTTGGGGGTTATTATTGAATGACTTTAAAACAGCCAGGATAATGGATAAGCACTGTGGATAGTGAGGTGGCACAACATAAAACGACTGGGAATAGAAAGATCATAAGATCTCATAACACTTCTGCTGGATCTGTACTCCAAAGGAGCAAGGGGCACAATATGAACAGACGTCTGCCCTCCCATGTTCACTGCAGCACAGTTCACTGTAACAAGAAGCCGCAAAGAGCCCAAATGCCAATCTGTAGCAGAATGGATAACGAAATGGAATACTTTGCATCTCTAAACAACAGCGCAGACACCGTGAAACACCCCATGCCATGGAGGGGCCTGGGAACCATTCTGCTGAGTGAAGTTAGTCAGGCACCAAAGGGCAAGTATCGTTCGAGACCATGACAATAAGGGTACTCTTAAGACACCATGCGGTCTTTATCTTGAGAGTAAGGAAAGTGTTTGCGTTTATGATTTTGCAACAGGCGTCCTAGTGTAAGGTGACCAGATTTTAACATTGGTAAAGCGGGACAAAAGCGGGACACCATTGACAAAACTCATATCCTGGCGAAATAGCCACATGGCAGCCAAGAACCGTCTACCCTAGCTTGTCGTGCATTCTTGCCCAAAATCGGGACTTTAAAAAAACGCTGCGGGACACAGGAAAAATTGTTAAAATTTGGGACTGTCCTGCCAATAGCGGGTCAGTCTTTGGTCACCTTATCCTAGTGGTGCAGTGGTTACGGGCTCAGCTGCTAACTAAAAGGCTGGCGACCAGTAGAGAAAACTAACAAATCTTCTCTGTAGTTAATTATGCATTTGAAACCGCTCTGGTAGGGAAGCATCCTGCTGGTGGTCCAGGGCTTGGGAAAATAGCGCAGTGGCACTATCAGGTCTGTCAAAACAAGCCTTGGAGCGTATGGAACAAGCATCAACGGAAACCCATAGGGGTTAGGAAGCAAGAAGCATCCACTACACCTTCTTATTCCACATAGAGCATTTCAAGCAAGCAAGACACCTGCATGGAACCACCATGGCCTGTGGTGGTGGTTGGAAGGCTGCAGAGAAGGTAAAATGGAAGGAACAGTATGCCACTGAAATGCAGGCTGTGTGGTCAAGGTCCACTGCCCTCACCTTGGTTCACAGTGCCCAATTCCACATGACGTCAAAGCCAGTTAT